GAGGGAGCTTCACAGCTCACACAGCACCAGTCAGAAGCGTTTGAATTTATTTGAGCCCAGTTGCAACGCACCATAACTGAGAATATATTAACCAATTGTGAACAAGAGTGGTGATGACCAAGGAGGTTTGTAACACTTGTATTCACGTGAAAGACATGGAGTAATAGAATTTACATTGCAAACGGGGCTTTAATACAACAATTGGAAGTCTGAAGCAGCAGTTAACCGATCGATTGTTCTGTGGACAGGTGTGGAACATGTTGTGCGAGCTGAAGGGAAGAACGTCAGAAACGGGACGATACATGGAAAAGCGATTTCGCTATGAAGGTATGTTCGAGTGTAACCCTCATGCTCATGTGTTCTTTACACAGACGTAGATGTTTAGATGTTATATTATACCAGCCTTCTAGTGTTCAGCAACAGGCAAGGACTACGTTGATCACTTGTCCCCCATTTGCTGTCTCCTGGTGTTCGTGTGTTCATGAGATACTGATTTCTTCAGGCAGCCGCTATCATGAGGTCAATCGATCCGTCGAGCGCTTCATCAATAAGAAGAAGATATTTCCTGATTTCCATGACATCTGCAGGGTAGTGGACAAGGTGAGGATAGCTCCTTTAAATTGACTACGTCACGAATTTTCTATGGTAAAATTTGTAAAAAAAAATGGTGCAATTTTTTTTACATTAAAAGTAAGAACTAACCTTACTAACTATATCCTCAAACTCTCACCTGATAAAAATGTTTTTACGTTGGTTCAATTTGCAAAAATCTAGACGATTTGGTAATTTCTGTTGTCTAACACTATTCCCTCAGTACTGTTCAGATACTGGCGTCTCTCGGGTTTTCACCGGCAAATTAGGGCATATAAAGAAAGTATGTAAGCATGAAAAGTAAACAGAAACACTAATTGTATTTTCATACATTTTATTTTGTACAAATAACACACAAATATACTACTTGATGGTGCTAGAAATTCATGACGTAATCACTTTAATGCCGTGCGTTTCCATTTGCAACAATCAGAGCTGTACACGTTCTGCAGATGTTTGCAAGCGAATGTCGAATTTTCTTACCTGTTTATAATTATAGCCACGGGCTAAAATAATTACATTTGCGTGCGTGTGTTAGTAGATATTTGTGTGTGGGTGCGTCCGTGTGCGTGTAAGTGTGCGTGTAAGTGCGTGTGTTTGGGCGTCCGTGTGGGCGTCCGTGTAGGTTAGATTTGATGAGATTAGATATGTATGCGTGAGTGTGTGCGTGCGTGCGTGCGTGCCAGGCCTCGAATTAAGCGACGAGAGGGGCAAGGCAATTTTTTGGGGGCCAATGTGGAAGATTGCTTGAAATTTTCCTCTAAATGGAATGGGCCCGAGGCAATTTTAAAAAGGCATGCAAGGCCAACTCTCACCAATTTGAGAAGGGCACCATGGCCATTGTATGGGAAACTTTGTGTCATCGTATGAATTCTACTAAATTTCTCAATTTACTGGCACTCTGGGCAAGCTACCCACGTACAGATCACTGGCCATCTTGCGCGAGCGTCGTTTCCCGCGCTTAAAATCGAGCGCTGGGCCGAGTCCAGCGCTGCAGCATTTAAATTGTTTCTACACGCGGCATCACAGGGTGCCATATTTATCGATCGTGCGCGGGTTCGGCTAGCAATACCACGTTATTGTTTTTGCTGCTGGTAGACTCGGTTATCCGGCCTCACGCCTTGCTTAGGAGAATGTACACGCTCCCCTGCACAAACAGTGCGGGTCCGCGAACACCAGTCTAGCCGAGTGCACGCGCACCGACGGCATATTACAGAAAGGCAAGGCAGGTCACTGCCGTCGGTCGGGTTGCGATTTTCACGGCAGTACGGCGATTGATAGGGCACGCCTGGCAATTGCCGTCGGCTGCGCCGCATAGGTGTTAATTCGAGCCCTGGTGCGTGCGTACATGCGGTGACAACGTGTGTGTGTGTGTGTCCTAAGCAGAGTGCCGTCGCGCGTATCGTACATGCGTGCGTTCGGTATGCATTCGCGTCGCGTGCGTGCACTGGCCATGTAGGAGTTAGAGTAGATGGATTAATAATGAACGAGTGATGAGTGTCGGTGTAGTCAGTGCGGTAAATAGAATAGTGCTATAGTGACACGTAACTTCGTCACCGCAGGTACACGGCAAGGCTAACCTGTGCCGTTCACGCGTCCGGCGTGACGAGTCTCGGCGCGCAGGTGCTTCCGTGATGTCGGAGAGCAGCTGCAGTGCGAGAGACGCCGCGATTTCGCCGCCGACTTCGGCTGCACCTGACCGGACGTGTTGCCGCGGCGACCGGCGGGGGAGGAGGGGGCGGGCGGCGATGGAATCCGGCGGAGGAAAGCGAGGAGCTGAGACAGCGACTGACGAGAACGCACATGGCGGTCACGAGAGCGGCTCGGCGCAGGCATGGTTCACTGTGTGCGTCGGATTCGATGTGCGCGGGGGGGGTGGGGCGCGTGTTTTGCCTGCATTGGTTTTGATGTGGCGGCGGGGTTAAGGGGGGGGGGGCGTTCACTTGTCGTTGTGTGACGCGCTGGGGGGAATGTTTGTCGTCAGTTGGTTTGAGGGTGGAAGGGCGGGTGTTGTTCACTTGTTTCATTTGACAGAAGCGACTTGGCAGGCCATGTTTATTGTTACTGAACAAATGGTGAACAACTATACGGGCACGACTCGCGTGTTAATTTGCTTGGACAGGAGCGAACGCTGCCCGTTCCACGAATGAGCGATTGACTTAATTTTCAAGTAACATTTATGTCATATAAATTCACGGTGGCGTTGACCATGCATCTTTTTCTCCGCTTTCCTCATGCCGTCCGACTGGATCGGTTAGTTTTTTCTGCCCCGGTTCAGGGTGTTGGATAAGTATGGAACAGAAGAGGTGAAATTGGGTCTGACAACGGTGAGGCAGGTGTCGATGCTCTGGGAGGTGGCATAGCAGCACAGCGAGATGCTGAAGGAGAGAGGAGGATGTCGTGGATGATTTGACGATGAGGAAGGTGTGCAAGGGAGATGTCCTTTCATTGGAAGGTCGTCGGGCAAACGCGTGTTTTAACGCCATGCGAGGTTTCCCGCTGGACGCGTAGAAACAAAAGAAGCGGCGTTGTTGGCTGACGTCAGTGAGGTGAGAGTAGAGGGGTGGTTTAGGAGTATGGGTCCTTGGGGGTTGCCATTATTTGATATCAAAGTTTCGCTGACTGGCAGCCAAAATGTAGGAGGCATCTGGGACAGATCTGATCTTTAGGGCTACGCGAAATCCCAAATAG